TTAAAACAAAACTTGAAATAATGCTTTTGAAAATGTTTCAAAATGCCATTGTTTTGAATAAAATTTACTGTTTGTAATTCTCATGTCTCCTAGCACAGTGCTCTACAATATGGTAACTGTTTTTGTAGAATGCAGGCAGCCATACTGCTGCAGTGCCTGCCTCCCTTCTGCACAAACACATTTGCTTTCACTGCCTCTCAAAAATGTACCAGTAGTAGAATTTAACAATCATGAGAGAGATACCTGGGGGCCTTATTAATTGTGAGAAGTGTGAACACCACTAATGTAGATGCTGATGCTACGCTTACTCACTCAACAGACCAGCTTTCCGGAGAGTGCATATCAGATCATCTCATTTAATCCTCAGAAAAAAATGCTGAGATGGGTAATATCCCCATTACAAATTGCCTTGGGACTAACTGCTAATATAACCTCTGGTGGGAAAAGCATGAATGCTAGGGGTCGACTGTAGTAATTGTTTATAGTAATAAAATACAGGAATAGTGATCAAATCTAAACAGCCGTTATTTTCCACTGTTAATATCTCACCCAAGGTTTCTACATTTCCCTGCTCATATAAAACACCTAATGGTAAAGAGTATTAAAGGCGGGGGGAAAGCCTGAGGGTAGCTGTTTCACAGACTGCATTCATTAGTAAATAAATGGACAAGCATGACAAGACTACCTTAGGGTCAGAGTAGCTGATGGAGATGGTCATTTTTCTTCTCTAGAAGTTTAATATAAATGTTAAATTTTACATTTTGGATTCATTTCAGTCTTCTTATTTCATACTTTCCTCTGGGGCTCACCCTAATTTCTGTCAGCCCCATGCCTGTTTTATTATGGCTACTTAAAAGAGAAATGTTCTTTGATAGGTAAAATGTAAGGTTTATGTGCTAAGGTTCAGTGCTAGTCTTAACACTATGCTGAAAACATATTACTAAATGTACTTACCCTGGACAGTGAATGTTCTTTCTCAGTTCCACTCTGCTCTCTCGACTAAGTGAAGAAAGAGTTAATGCATCATTATTAAGCAGGAAGTTCTGTTAGCCTTATGTATATGGTAGAATGAATAATTTAGTATTTTCGGAAAATGCAAACTGCAGTAGAATTCAAGCAACCATATCAGAATTTAGATCAATATTTTACATGATAGCATGAAGTAAAAGTCATCAGAAAGAAGATGCTTAAAGATACCAAGTGCAAGAATGTTGCTTAATAGTTTAAATTATAAGAAAGATTGGGAATTTTGGGTTGAAAATGTTTTGTCTTATGCAGTAGTAAGGCTTACCTGCATTCTGACAATTGTCCGGTGACTGTTTGCCAAAATGATTGGTAACAGGATGTGGCAGTTTCTTTGTTGTCAGAGACAAGATAATTTCTCAGGTTTTTCTTGTAAGTTTTTTTTTTAATTGTCCTTATGTTTTTTTCCCTTTTAAATATGATTTCAGGGAACTGAAGTATAAAAACTGAAGACTAGGTGTGTTTTCTTTAATAAAGGTTTTATAGAAGTAGCCATTTACAAACATTGGTAAGATAGATTTTTTAAAAAGCAGTTTAAATTTATAATTCTTAAAAATTTTCTGAATTGTTTATCTCCTTTGGAATGATTTCATTAGGTTGGTAGACGTTTTTATCTGTATGCTTGTTGGTCTTTCTGTATCTTATGTCATTACTATAGATAAATATTGTGCATGCAACTTTAATAGAGTGATCAGTTGGCAGTATTTAGCAAAGGTGACATTTATCAGTTTTACTTATTTTGTGTTTGCAAATATCTGCTGTATGTGATTATTTTTAAAGCAAGACTTTTATGTTAAATTTAATTTCTAAAAAGGATGAAAAATTCTCTTGATTATTTAAGTTTATTACCATTTTTAGATGTACACTCTTTAAATTTAAATTGGTTTGGTTCTGATTCTACTAAAACTTTTTTAGTTAGCATGGGTTGTATTGTTTAAAGAATACGTATTTTTAACCAGTAACTGTTTCTTGGTTAATATTGATAGAAAAAGAAAAAACCTTTCCCATGCTGAAAAGAATTTCTTTACAGAAGATTATTGATGTAAAGTTTTGGATGTCACTAAAGTGGTAGTAAAGTATGTATATAATTTATTTTTGTTTTTCTCATCCCAATTGTGAGTGTCACCTTGATTTTGGATAAGCCCTTCCCCTTTTCATAAATTACCACCTTCTCATTGAGTTTTTTCCTCCTAAAAAAAATTTACTTCATTGACACTTATGCTAAATTTTAATGTAAATAGCCTAAATAAATGGCTATTTGATGTGGCCACACATTTTTAATAAGATATTTTGTCAAATATGTATATATACCAAGGAAAAAAGAAACAGTAAAACGTGGCTTGGTAAAACAATGAATAGCTGACTTTTTTCCAAAGGGCAAAGGAAAGAAAGATTCTATTTCATATCAATTAATATAAAACTCTTTATTTCAGTAGGCTGTTTAAAATGGCTTTGGTCTTTTTCCAGCTAGTAGAAATGAGTTAATCTCGTGTTAAGATAATCTTAAGAATTTCCCCTAAAGTTTTTTCAGATGCAGCTCTCCTAACTGAGAGGGTAGAGCTCATGAAATTAACTCTAATGGCCGTAGACTCCTGACTTCTTCTACCTTATTTCTGTTAACTTTTAAAATACATAATCCTAAAATGTGGATTGCACTTTTTGATGATATAACTTAGGAAATAATTGAGCTATAAGTGCATCATTTGATCTATGGCTGCTTATAGGGTTTTTCCACAAATAAGACTACATATAAAATTTTTAAAGAACTTATGTTAAAGAGGATACGTTTTTATTAAATTACAGAGCTTCCAGGATGAGGATCTAGATAGGACGTATGTATAAATACGTTTTGAACATTTCAAAGCACCTTTTAGTTTATGTGACGTTCTTCAGACGCCCGTTGTCCTTTGAAGCTTCTAACACCAAGGTGTCTGTTGCAGCCCAGAGCAAGGTTACTGCTACCCAGGACAGCACTAATTTGCGATGTATTTTCTGTGGTAAGCAACATTATGTTTACATTACTTTTTCAAGCTGTGGTACATACTACTTGCACATTTTCATAATTTTTGTTTCCTTAGGCCATAGTCTGGTTTGTGATATTTGGGATATACAGCAAGCTACTGTTTTTATGTTGTGATATTTGTTGTGGTTCATGTAGGTGATTTGGTCAGCTTTTGAGTTGGATTGTCAGGATTTATTTAGAATTCGGATCTTAAAACTATTCTTGTCCACCTCTTCCAACACAAATGATAGGAGTTTTTGTTTGTTTGTTCATTTTTGTTTTTTATTATTTTGTTTGGGAGTAAACTTTTAATTTAGAATTTAAGGAAAAATTTATATCCATCTTAATATGATTTGAGGAATGTAAATATGCTTTATTTGAAGGGAGCTTTTGCTTAACTTGAATTAATTTTAGGTGTGCATGTTGCGAGGCAGGTGTAAGCTATTACTTGCTTTAATAAGTTGATTTCGGATTGAAAGCCTCCTTTACTCAGTAGGTTAAACATCTGTGGCTTAGGAGTGAATTTAGGCTCATGTTTTCTTTCACTTTCAATTTCATATACACACATGTGTACACATGTATGTATTGTTTGCATGGACAAACCAATGTCACTTGGCCACCCCAAATTAGAGATAATCAGATATGTACATATCCTTACCCTCACACAAGGAGATATATCTATCTATAAATAGATACACATCCTTGTCTGAAATCTTTTTATCCCCATTTGATCCTAAAACTTTCTATGTTAAAAGCCCAAGTTCCAGAAATTGACTTTTCATTATTTGAGCTTTTATTGACTTATATATACCTTTTTAAGGTATACCTTGAGTAGCCAGATTATTTTATGAGAGAGATAAAGTTATAACATGATATAAGGTACTGCTAAAATTTTACATAAGCAGTTCAGCTATGTATGTACTTTATCCATGCGACTCAGAATTTTTAATGTGATTCCTCAGTATTATTGCTATTGTTTCTTTATGAAGAGAATCATTTTTGAATTCATGTACTTACTGGTTTAGGCAAAGAAGTATGTGTTATAAATTTCAAAAAAAAAAAAAAGAAAAGAAAATTCTACTGTCTTTCTTAGTCACCTCCAAGTGCCCCTTACAGCAGTGGGCCTATTGTGTGGCTCTGTAAGTCCCTCCTCTCCCTCCCAGATTCCAAAATCAAACATTTCAGATTAACTGTTTAATCAGTAACTTTCTTTTCTGATTTTTCTGCCTCCTCCTGGGGTTTTTTCCAGGCTATCTTTTGAACTAGTCATAAGTGATTATTGATATTTATGTTATTAAGACTCTCTTTAATGCATTTTTAAAAAACCCACTTGATGTTTTGTAGCTTTCTACTTAATACGTTGAAATTCACATGTAGAATAATAGTTTACCCAGTTGCAGAGAAAAGATCGATTTGGCCTCACCGAAGGTGAATTTTCAAAATTGTAAAATAATATGTTAAAAAACAGGTTTTCCCCACTGTTACCTTTAATTTAACTGTGTACAAACAATATAATTAACACTTTGCTAAGTTTAAACTTGATTGTATTGTATATAATAATACCTATTTGTCTTTTAGTCTTGTGTTTTTAAATAGTCTGTGGTTAAGTGTGAAACTAGATTTGTGAAAATTAAAATGTGACAGTAAGTGAAATGTACTTTAGCCAAAACTCAGTATTGAAGGCAAGACTGAAATGCCATTCCTGTTTTAGAAACAGATTCTTCCAATATGATTTTTCGGCATTGGTAGGCTACTGTCAGTGACATTGCCACATTTTCTTTATTGGAAATAGTAATTCACAAACTTTGCTATATACCTCTTCTAGCCAGGACAGATTAAGATCAACCATTGCCATTGGCTGTTAGGGAGAGAACTAACTCTCAGAACAGCAACTATTCTTTATGATAACACATAGTAGAAGCAAAGAAGGTTCACTCGTTTCTTTTCTTTTCTTGTCTTTTCTTTTTTCTTTTTTTTTTTTTGAGGCAGAGTCTCAACTCGGTCACTTGGACTAGAGTGCAGTGGTGTCATCATAGCTCACAGCAACCTCAAACTCCTGCCTCCTGCCTCCTGATCCTTCTGCCTCAGCCTCCGGAGGTAGCTGGGACTACAGGAGCATGCCACCATGCCCAGCTAATTTTTTCTATTTTTGGTAGAGACGGCATCTTGCTCTTGCTCTGGGTGGTCTCCTGAGCTCCTGCACTCAGCAATTCTCCCGCCTCGGCCTCCTGGAGTACTAGGATTACAGGCGGGAGCGTTTCTTAACCTTGATTGTTAACTTGTCTCTCTTTTTTCCCTAAAAGAGCGCTATTAACCACCATATAATGCTCATAAAATATTATCATTTGCCCACTGAAATGGTTGTGAAGGTAGCTATTTTATATTTTATGAGAGCACAGATACTTTTAGGAATATGACCTATGTGAAGTAATAGTTACATTCCTGAGCGTGCAGTGGCAGCTGACAGCCTTGCCTAATCTTAGTTGCTGCTTCATGTTGCATGTGGGACCTTTGATATTATTTACCAATTTTGTAGCCCATGAGAACATTTGACAAGAAAGAAAAATGTAATTGTGTACCTCTGAAGTTCATGATTTACCTGGAACTTTTATTTAGTGTTTATATTATATATTAACTTTTAAATGCACATAAATTTCAATGTGCTAGTTATTGCAACTTGACAATGTTGATGAAGAAGAAACAAGCAAGACAACCGGATTAAATATAGATGTGAAAAATTGCCAAGGGGAGGGATGCCACCCTCCAATCCCCGTTTAAAGGATGTCTAGAAAGACAAATAGCCCATTACCACAAAGAACCATGTATTACTAGAAAAGAATTCTAAGAGTTGTTTGGTATCAAAATTCTCCCCATTTTAAAAAGATCTTCCTTGAAGTTTTTCTTTCCTTCTCAGCTACAGAAATAAACTTTAGTTATTTTTATACCTAATGATATCAGCCATAAAATATTATCCATATTTTAAAATAAAACCTCCTTTCTAAACAGATTTGCTTAGTAAACTTTTAAAAAGTTTTTAAGAAAATTCCAAAACAGGTTCTATAAATTGCTAAAAGATTTTTTTCTCAGTTTGTTTTGTGAGTTATATCAAACTTTTATTTTTTTTTCAAACTTTTCTTTTTTAAAAACCTGTTTAATGAAAAGCAATAGTGTTGAGTTGAAATTTTGACGTCTTCTTTTTGAATTTATATATTTCAGTTAAAACTTAGATTTTAACCAACGAGTGTAATCCATGAATATTATTGTTGAGATAATGATGCCTGTCCTAGATGTGAGTACTATGAATGCATTCTTCTTTGAGGTGGAGGCCAAACAAGTCTAAACTATTACATTCAACTGTTTCATTATTTAAGCCAGAGGTTTCCACTTAAATACTCAGATAAACATTACTTTAAAAAATAGCTAAACCATAATGGTCTTGTGAGTTGTCCATGCCAAATACCTCACACTTAATAGTTTGAGATAAATACAACTTTGGATGTATAAAGTACATCCCCCAAACATTTTATACTTTCTCAAATTTACCCTCCCACCTTGCATGTGCCCATCCTTCTGCCACAAGAGAGATCTTTTCCCTAGAAAGTATTGAACATTAGTGTTTGGCCTAATATGACAGTCTGTTTTTATTTTTACATCATTATGTTAAGTTCCCAAGGAAAGAATTCTAGTCTGTTTATTTGACAACTATCATATATTTTGATTTATGCAAACCTTTATGTGTGTATTTAATTTCAAAAGCTTTTTGGGTTTTTTGTTGTTGTTACTGATTATATGGGAGTAATATATTTTTATATTTCCTTTATTTGATTCTCAAAATAGCAGACTCTTAGGAAATCTAATGAAATATATCACTGCTATTGTCATCTAATTTGTCTTTATAGGACAAATTAAATGATTAATCTGAAAACATTTGTAAAGAGGTGAGGGAAAAATTTAGTAGGTAAGTTCAGATTGAATTACTTCTGTTTTTCTACATTGGGGATACACCAATACTGTATTACATCCTAATAAATGTTTACTTCTAGTTGTGAAATCTGTTCCACTAGTACAAAATAGATACTTTGTACTACTATTAGCTTATGGATTACAAGAATTTGCTTTAGTACACAGAAGCATTTATTTACTAACTTTTTAATACTAGTGGTCTATAAAAATCTATCAAAAATATCTGCTAGGAGCATTTGGTGGCATACTAGAATTCACAGATATGTATAGTATATCAATACTCATATATTCCTCTCCAAGAGTGGAAGATAAATACTATTTCTTTACTCTCTTGTTTACTTGATAAGATTTCAAGATTGTTCTATTTTAACCCTAGGCATCATATATTAGGTCCAGTATTTATCTCATTTTATGACACATTTAATTTTTATATCCAGTGACATTTAAGTTGTCTCATAATTTAGTGGCATTCTATTTAAAATGCTAAAAATGGATCTGCACTGTACATGATATGTGGGAATGGATGGTTATTAGTTTCTCATGACAGAACCATGTTGATGTGAATGCAGGTTTTTTTTCTTCTTACCCCCAAATGAAAAGTTGTTAAGATTACCTTTATTACATTAGAAATTCAGATAAGTAGGTTAATTGTTATATCAAAGTTTAGCAAATGTTTGTTTTCACCAGTATTGGAAATGCCAGGCCATTAAACAAAAATGGCAGCTTAAATTGAGCAAATTTGATAAATGCATTAGCATACTTCAGTCTAGTAATAAGGTTCTCATGCTCTCTCTCTCCTGTTTTTCATTTCCAGTGTTCTATTTAGGTGAGTTTTTGAATTCTGATTTTCCATTTAAGTTCTCCTTCTCCACTTCATGAATAATTACCCTAAAGAGAATGTCTCATTGTCTTAGAAAATGTCAAGCTTAGGTGCCTATTCAGATGCTCATTGAACACTTGTTTTACTCAAGCTCTTCATATATAGATGTTTCTTTTTCCTTTATTGTTGATGTTTTCCATTTGTTTCAAGTAAGCCTTCTGGAGATGATGACAATATTATGTTGCAGTCTTTCATTTGCTGTGTGTTATGTAAAGCTTATATTTTATTTTGCTAGACAAAAAGAAGATACATTTGTAAATATGTGATGGTTTTGTGTTATTCTCATGATTTTATCTCCTCTATCCAGCTAGATATGAAGATAATATTCACCTATAATGTTTTCCTCCCTCTGTAGGGCCAACATTGCCTAGACAAAATTCACAACTACCTGTCCAAGTTCAAAATGGCCCATCCCAAGAAGAATTGGAAATTCAAAGAAGGTAAATTTAGAAGTTATTGTTTGTCCTTTTCTTTATACTATAGAAGGCTAAGCTGGGAATATCCCAATATTGAAAGTAGATTGTTTTGTCAGTTGTTTGAAAGTCACAACTTTTATTCTTAGTTAAGTTTTGGAATCATCATTAATAAGTGACCAGATACTTTTATGCTGGACACATGATGTTATATATATATTCGTACCTGCTTTTTTGTAAAACTCATAGCATGCTTAAAATATTTAAATACAATTAACAACATATAAAATGTCTTTACAATTCAAGAGGTCTCATCTTTATGTTTATAATAATTTTAAAGTAATCAGTTTTCACATGACTAATTTAACTAGAAAGTTGAAATAGTGTTGGCTGGTTCTTTTTTTTTTTTTTTGAGACAGAGTCTCACTCCGTTGCCCGGGCTAGAGTGTGTTGGCTGGTTCTTTAAGGCATTGATCTTGAGAGATTGCCATAGGGTTTCTTAGCAGAATACAAAACCATTCTCTATTGGGTTTGGGGAGAAGAGTGCAAGAGCTGTTACAGCTGTTCTTCAGACAGCGTGTTTGTCAATCAGCTTGGTTATGTATGCACTGCCCGCTTTGGTTCTCTCTGCATGCTGACTGCAAGTTAGGTCTTTCCCAGGTTCTTCTTCCTATGTTTGCTTTGGCCATTTTCAGTGTGTATTCTGGACTATGGATACCTCTGCTGCTCAGATATTTATGATACAGGGTGTCTCAAAAGTCTCCATACAAAGGAAAAATTTTGTGCAATTTTGTAAGGAATATTTTGTAAATAAAGGTACATTTAGGCCAGGCTTGGTGGCTCACGCCTGTGATCCTAGCGCTGTGGCAGGCTGAGGCGGGAGGATCACTTGAGCTCAGGAGTTTGAGACCAGCCTGAACAAGAGCAAGACCCTGTCTCTGCTAAAAATAGAAAAAATTAGCCAGGCACGGTGGCACATGCCTGTAGTCCCAGCTACGTAAGGAGGCTGAGGCAGGAGGATCATTTGAGCCCAGCAGTTGGAGGTTGCTGTGAGCTAGGCTGATGCCATGGCACTCTAACCTGGGCAACAGAGTGAGACTCTGTCTCAAAAAAAAAAAAAGAATAAGAAAAGGTACATTTAGGTACGATTTCCCATTTTCCCTGTGTATGGCGACTTTTGGGACAGCCCTGTACATTCCAGGCACTGTTTTTTTCTAAGTGCTTAGGTTACGTCGGAACAAGGTGGTGGTGGGGGCAAAACCCCTTAACCTAATCAGATGGTAGTCGCGACATAGTAGAAGATGATAAATGCTATAGAAAAAAATAGAGCAGAGTAAAGGAGATTATGTTAATATGTTGTGTAGGGGAAAAATGCTGGTTGTAATTTTAAATAGGTTGGTAGGGTAGATCTCACTGAGGTGAAAGGAAGGAATTGGCTAAGCAGATATCTGGGTAAGTGCATTCCATGCAGAGGGAACAGTCAGTGCAAAGGCCTTAAGGCAAGATGTATAAGGGAAAACAAGAAGGTCGTGGAGGCTGGAGCAGAGAGAATAAGAATAGGGGAGGAGAGCAGTAGGAGATGAAGTCAAAGGTAATGGGAATCCAATCATGCAGGACCTTCAGGCTGTTGTAAAGAATTTAGCTTTCATTCTGAGGAATGAAAATTCCAGAAATTTGATAATAAATTTGCTCTACTAATGACCACCCTCTTCAGCATTCTACTTTGTCATGGGTTTATTTGTATACATTTTAATTACATTCTGGAATTTCAGGTGAATTTTGGAGTAGGGGAAGATTATTTGCTCAATCTGCCAACCTGAGTAAGAGTCCGGATACTCCTGTCTTGTCACCTTCCTGGTTAGCATTCCTTATGGCCACCTCTCCTCACGTCCAGTTTACTTCGGCCTGGCATTTAGAAAGTCACCCTGTGCCTCTCTCTCATCGCTCACGACTGTCTCTTTATGCACCGTGCCCACGCGCTGTGCTCATTTTCCCTCTGCTTGTGTTTGGCGTCTCCCTCTTCCGACGTGCCCTTCTCTTCCTCACTGCATCGTTACTTTCTGTAGACTCTTCTCCAGGCACGCCAATGTTTTTCTTTTCTGAATTCCAACAACTTAGTCACACAGTGTTTTATATTTTCTTTTAATTGTTTATTTTCCGTAAGAGTATTACCTCCACAGTGAACATTACAAGGCTATTTTGAGAGTAGAAACCTGAATAAAGTTTCTAATAAAAAGCCAAGAAGTTTCTGGTACTGAATTAATTTATGTGCAGTGTTGGGGGATAAGGCAGAAAAACGTAAGTTTGGATCTTTAGTGTAGTAATTTTCTTCACTTTTGCTTAATTTTTTTCCCATTCTAAACCCATGATCTGAAGGAGAAATTTTTGACATTTAACTGGTAAATGGCCTTTTGGAGACTTCCCAGGTGCTGCTGTAAAATGGAGGTAATAAAGACATCACCTCAAAGATTGTGGGGTTGATTAAATGAGATAATACACACTCTCTGTGCTGCCTAGGCTCTTTTGTCTGTGTTGTTTGGGAGACGGTGGGAGCCTTCGTGGAGGAGGTGCTCTTTGAGCTGTGCCCAAGGAGAAAATAAAGCAGGAGTTTGCAGTCATAGAAGGGAAGAGCATTTCAGGCAGAAAGAGTGGGCACATAAAGGCAAGGAGATGCAAACAAACGTGCAACGTGGGCACAGTCCCTCTTTCCCCAAGAGGACGGATGGTATGGTTAGATGAGTTGTGTCCACCTTGTAAAGCACTTTATATACACATGCTAAGAAATTTCTTCTTAGGACTCTTTTCCTGAATTGATCTTAGAATAAAAAGGTGTCTTGCTTTTGGTTGCTTTAGTAATTTCAAAGTATAAGAAAGGTATTTGTTATTTGCCTTTGACCTACTACATCCCATACAGTCTGTTTTTGCCCATGGTTAAACCATACTTGGAAAAAAAATTCTACAAAACCACAAAATATCTACTAAATATTTATATAGACACTTGTTCCTGGTATTCACTTTCTTGTAGCTGACAGCAGCGCATGGCTGGACCTAGTTGTGTAGGTGAGAAAACACAGTGGGAAAGGGTGTATAGCATAGTCTAGTGTGATTGGTTCGTAGTAAAAATTATATTTCCAGAATTTATTTCATGTGGATATTCATATAAAAATCATTTTTGTTTTCCTTGATTTCATTTTCAGAAGCATAATAAAATACCTTCAGGCCAACTTTTATTTCATAAGCTGAGTGAAATTGTCCTGTTAACTTTGGCTATTTAACTGGCTCTTCTCTACACTATTGCTGAAACATGTAATGAAAAACATTATTAATTTGCATTATAAAATCACAATCATGAGGAGGTGGGTGAGGTGGCAACTGAAGAGAGAGATTAAGTGAAAGTTGGCAGAGTTGCCCTTTCCCTTGCTCTGCTCCTAAATGCTGGCAGCCAGACCTGCAGAGCCCAGGAAAGAAATCTTAAGATTCCTGTTTGGGAACATTGCCTTGGCCAAGAGAAAAGACAGAGATATTGACACTGAAGGTCTCTGCCAGTGAAGCTCATTTACTTAAGGGCTTCTGATCAGCTTTAGTGCTACTTATAAATGTGAATGGACAGCCAAGGATCATCAGACCTTTGGGAGTAACTTCTGTAACATGGAGACCAAAACAAAGAATTGAAATTGGATGAAATAGATACAGTGCAGGGAGCAGAAGAAAACCTAAAAATATACCATAATATAGCTTCAGAGGACTGAAAGAATATATTTCATGAATGAAACAAAAATTGGTAGTTACCTTAAAAGAATCTTTCAGAGAGCAAGAAAGTATACTTGGAAAAAATTTTTATTAATAACTGCATTAAATTAAAAACCAGAACATTTGAGAAATAAGGTTGAGGAAATTACCCTGAAAATAATGATAAAACATAGAGGTGGTATATGGAAAAGAAAGTAAAGTAAGACCAGATTAGGAGGTCCAACATCCAAATAATAGGAGGGGGAGATTCAGAGAACAAAAATGTCAGTAAATTGAATCTGCCAATAAGTAACATAAAAAATTTTCCTAGAATTCAGTGACTTGATCGTCTAGATCAGAGGTCTGCAAACTTTTTCTGTAAAGGGCCAGATAATAAATATTTTAGGCTTTGTGAGCCATAAGGTCTCTGTGCCATTTGCATAGCTCTTCCTTTGTAGGTTGCTGTAGACAACATGTAAATGAATTGGTGTTGGCCAGATTTGGCCCTAGGGCTGTAGTTTGCCAATTTCTGGTCTAGACTGAAAAATCTCACCAAGTGCTCAGCCCAGTAAGTGGGGAAAAAAAAGAAGACCCATCACCAAGGCATATCACTGTGGAATTTTACAATACTACATTAGAATAAAGAGAAGATTTCAAAGCTTTTGGGGGTGAGGAGTTGGGGAGCTTCAAAATCCAGAGAGAAATTCTTTCCAATCTGAAAACTTCCTCTTCTGTACAACTTCCTAGGAAGCTGTTGGAAGATGTCTTCTGTTTCAAAGAATGATGAAACCATGAGAGGATCCAGGAAACAAGAGATCCAACTTAGGAAAGAAATAAGACAATTCCCAGTATGACTAAGGAGAAGGCAAAACCTTAGGTGAAAGCAACCCATTGACTGGAGCCAGGAGGGCCAAGGGCTCCTGACAGGGTGTTTCTGAGGGGAAGAAAGACAAAACAAGCAAACCATAAAACCTGATCACTTGCTATTTTTGACCACAGTCAAAGGGTTTACAGTTCCAGTGGAGAGTTTGGGGTGAAATAGGGGTAGGTATATAGAAAAAGAATCAAATTTTTAAAAGTACTAATTTTTAGCAGAGTAAGAAAAAAAGAGTAAGAAAAAAATTTTTCTGGAAAGTAAGTGTGATCAGTAGTGAATTATATGATAAGCGAATATTGAAGTATCCAAAGTGGTGTTATGATTTTATTGGGAGAATGAAGAAGAAAAGGTTTTAGGGGTATCAGGGATGTAGGAATTGAATCATTTGTATAGTAAGAAGCCAGTACATAACATCTAACTC